TCTCAATCCCTTCATCCCCAAGCCTGTACTGTCCCAATCCCCAACCAGGGGTTGCCCCAACCCAGGTGCAGGACCCTGCACTTGGCCTTGTTGAACCTCATGAGGTTCACACAGGCCGATTCCTTGAACTTGTCCAGGTCCCTCTGGATGGCATCGTGTCCCTCAGGTCTGTCAACTGTACCATCCTGCCCACCACTTTTCCCTAGGATTAAGGGTATCTACTTTGTAGTCAAAACTTGCCTAAAACTTGAGCAGATGTCCTAGAACACCTCTTTAAACAGTACAGTAGTAGCAATGATGAGCTGCTAACCAGTTCTGAGCTGCAAGGAGACACAGATACTCATTCAGCTCTTCAGGCAGGTCTGACAGTCTCTCCTACACTGGAGCTGCCAGGGTGACACTGCTGGTGGCTACACTACTAGCTATCCTCAATGACAAGTTGTCAGAGCCCAGTAAACCAGCCCATCATGTACATACCTGCTATTCTAACATTTAACAGCTGTCAATCTGAAAGCCTGACCTGAGTGCCCTCTTACATTGGCATTTACCAAAGAGCCTCCAGCTGCAACCACATTATCATAGTTCTTCCTATGTCCACTGGCTTCTACCATCATTTCACCACAAAACAGACACACTCCTTTAGGAAGAAGTAGAGGAAGACAATCAACACAGCATAAGCAGGTAGCACCTACAGCTCATTGAGCACTGGAAGGAATGGCTTGCATGGAGACAGAAAGCATCTGGCAGCACTAGATAAAGATGTTCTACCCAACAACTGGTTGACAGTCTCACCTCAGAATTCTCCTCTATTTGCATCTCTGTTTGTTCTGGTTCCCCTTCATCTGTTTTAATATCCATTTTCACCTCCTGCAAGGGTGGCTGCTGTTGCTCTGGAACAGTCTGCTGAGAGTTCACTTCTGTGCTGCTGGTGGATGGGGGGTTGGATACCTGCCCATCAATGCTTACAGCTGGCTGTGAAAGCTGAGGGAACAAAACACACATTACAAACAGGCTTCTAATGAATTTATTTTTCTTTCTCTAATCTACCTTTTACCTATACTATGTTTCCACCAAGTTTAAATGCACTCTAGTCCTTCTACTTCACCTGATGAGCATACTGTTACAGAACTACAGAAAAACATACTACAGAAACATGCACTGGAGGGCCTAGTAGACAATTACATACCATTTCCCTATTGTACATCTCCACTACACATATGCAGACATAACAAAAGACCTCATCCATGTTTCACAGTGAATTTCAAAACATGCACTAGAATTACGAAAAATACTTCCTCTCTGGAAACACCAGATGATCTATAGACTCATCTTGATGCAAAAAGGTTTCTTCCCAAATGCAAACAAAAACCCCTATTTCAATATTAAAAATGCCAGGAGCTACCTCCATTATCAGAGACTTCCACAAAAATAAAGATCAACTGAAAATTAAACCTTACACTTAAACATTTGCAGGGAAAGCACAATTAAAGTATTTCCTTACAGGTGTTGTGGGGTGCTGAGGCTGCAGCGGTGCTGTTGGTGTGGGAACAGATGCAGTCGTACTCTGCTGTGACAAGGGCTGCTGCTGTTGCTCTGCAGAAGGGGTAACTGGAACTGGAGGCTGGACTTGTGGAGGCAGCTGTGCCTGCGGAGGCGTTGGAGTCTGCCTTTGAGGGGGGTGCATAGTTTGTGACTGTGGTCCAGGTGGCATTGCCTGAGGAGTAGGTGTGGGGGCAGTAGTGGCAGCTGCTGCTGCCTGCTGCTGTGTTGATCCCAAGCCTGGAGGCGTGTGGTGAGGTGTTGGGGTTCGGCTAGGTACTGGAGAAGGAGAATTTCGGTGCATGGGAGGCTGTGGAAGAGGTGGGCAGTGAATATGGCTCCCTTGAGAACCTGGAGCCATTGCAGGAGAATTCACAGGACAGGAAGCGCTCGTCATTTGTGCCTGTGGGAAAACAAGTACACATTTGCAATGACTTGAAATAGAAAAGCGAGAGAAATTACTGTCAAATGGCTGCTTTCCCACAGTTACTGGCATACTTTTAAAAACGTGACAAACTGTTTTGTTTTTAAAAATTTTATTTCAAAAGGAGAAATGGTCTATTCAATCTATTTTGCTCCACATGAACATAAAGCTGTTTTCTAATTTATTCATCTCCAAAAGAGAAGTTTCAACAGAATAACTTATACTTGTTAATATATTTAAAAAATGGCACACCTGGACTCCCGGTTTGCAAAACATTTCTTTCTAAAACTGCAGATTTGTACATCCTGATTATGGGAAAATGCACCACAGTGAAAAATTGCATTCAAATACACTTAGTGTGCCCATGCCCCCACCCCCAAGACTAGAAACTGAATTTATAATCAGAAATAAGTACAACTGTAACTGTACCATTACAAGACTACAAAAAAATTGTAATGGTCAAGGAAAAAAAGCTGTCACTCCACAATAATCTTGCCTGCAAACTAGGAAGAAGCATCAACGAGAAGCAAACTGACGTTCCCTACTTCTTCCTGGCCTGAAAGGTTCTTGCTGAAAAGGGAGAGGGAAAGGACAGAAAGGAAACTGCTAGACTGCAAGTTCAGATCTTTAGTAGTGATAACCCTCCTATCCCCCAAAGCCAGCAACACACATCAGCCCTGGATAGACATGCCTTCCTAGGACTTAATCCACCGTCTCTTAATTTCTGAGGCTCTGCTGTTTCGCTGTTCAGCAAGAAATACTTAACTACAGCATGCTGAGTAACAATTTCTTCTTTGCTCCATAAAAACAAACTTTAAAAAAATTCCTCTGTCAAACTTAAGCCTGAGAACAAGCCAACAATGTTTCACCCTTGCCATTCCCAGTACTACACCAGGAAAATGCAGACTCTCAGTAAATGAATCTGGTTGACTACAATTCCAAAAGCATCTTGAGAAAACAAGTTGTTCTCCGTTACTACAAACTGAGCAATGAAACCAGTGCATGACAGAGCCCACTGACACCACCTCCAGAAATCAGAAACTTACTTGAGAAACTGGTGTCTGATTGCCAGGCTGCGTCATAGGCATGCTTGCTGTGTTCATTCCCGGGGAAGAAGCAGGGAACTGGGCCTGTTGTAGAAACTGATTCTGACCAGAAGGCTGGCCAACACCTGGTTGCTGCATACGTGAAGGAAATCCCATCTGTTGGAAAAGAAAGGAACTCATTTCACACAACATGTGTACACCTCCATAATGCTGAAAAAACCCAAACGTTTATCTTGATGGAGAAATTTATGCTTGACGCTCATCTGTAGGATACAATATGGAAAGCCTGCTTATAGCTCCGCTCAAAAGACAGAAATTATGATGATTTCCCTTGTGAGCTAAGGCAAAAGATATTGATTTCAGACTGGGACTGTGAGGTAAGATTTATTTTTGTTCCTTGTTTTAAGGATGCAACAGCACAAAAAGCCACTTAAAATTAATTTTTAGGCAATTTTTACCACCAAGATCTAAAGGCTTACCATAGACCAGACAAATCTTTCAGTGGCGATGCAAAAGGAGGAACGAAAGGGTCAAGAGAATGAAGAAATAATGCTTGATTTTTTAAATTTCTTTTGTTTATTTATTTTAAGGAAACCACAGCCAACAGAAGCAAACTTGCAAGCTCAACACCGTGGACGAAACACACACTGACCTGGTTGATGGCCCCAGCCTGGCTTAGCTGTCCAGGGTGCTGAAGAGGAGGGGTTTGCCGGGGTCCCATCGGTGACAGCTGCATGTTCATCTGGCCAAACTGATTCATTCCTGTGCATTTGTGCCAAAAAAACACTTATAAACAAAGGCCTAAATACTCCTTTGGGCACCATTCAACATTCGGAGAAGAAATGCTGTCATTTTTTCCCTAATTTCATTTTCTAGCAACTACTTTTCAAGCATGCAATACTATAAAGGAAATATCTCCTATCAACCAGTTACATGGAACAATTTTAAATATAAAATGTCCAAGCTACCATACTCCTTCAGAATACAGACTAGATTTTTTCCCCAAAAGACTTGTTTCAACTGTTTCAGATAACTTGCATTATCTTAATTACATATTAGATATTCACTTATTCAATCCCAAACTGTACCTTCACTTAAGTACTTTGCATGTTGTCTACAATACTTCTTGAACATGTCACAAAGGTCTGCCCCTTCCTTCTGAGACAATAATTCTCACCATCTTCCCTCTGCCACCAACACCTCCTCATCTAAGCTGGTTAGGCCCACCATATTTGACTGACCCCACCATCCTATGTTCACACAATCGGAAGTTCCAAAAGCATCAAGTTCTTTATTTAACAAAGCAAGCAGCTAACAAGCAACTCTTAAATTCACAAGATCATGAAATGCTATTAGAGATAAATATATAGTTTTAAAATATATATAATATATCTGGTTATGCAAGTAAGAAAATAGCTACCTATACTATTTAATAATCAAATGGGAAAACTACAGGTGAAACAATGGCTGTGACACTTCAGCAAGAGCTGCCCAATTTGAAGATTCCTTCAAAATCACGGTAGCGAATTTTCTTCAAATATTTACCTGGCTGTGCCTGCATGCGATTCATCATTTGGTTTGGCACATTGGCACGTATCAAGGTTGGGTCAGGAAGAGGGCCATCTGGAAAAAAAGATATTGGAATAAGATTACAACATTTAGAAGACCATCATGTTTTATCCACCAAACATTTTAGTAAGAATTACACACTAAAATGTGTAAAAGAAAAAAAGTACGGACACAGTCCAGTAACTCTAAACACTTTTGAAGTGTCCTCAAAGTGTGAAGCAAAACCAGAAACTTCCTTGAAAAATATAAGCATGTCCCACTGACAGAAATATCACAGAACTGTTGGGTTGGAAGGGACCTTTAAAAGTCATCTAGCCCAACCCTCCTGCAGTGAGCAGGGACATCTATAACTAGATCAGGTTGCTCAGAGCCCTGTCCAGCCTGACCTTGAATGTCACCAGGGATGGGGCATCTACCACTTCTCTGGGCAACATGTGCCACTGTTTCACCATCCTCACTGGGAAAAATGTCTTCCTTATATCTAGTTGAAATCTGCCCTCTTCTAGTTTAAAGCTATTACCCCTTGTCTTACTGCTACAGGTCCTGCTAAAGAGTCTGTCCCCATCTTTCTTGTAGGCCCCCTTTAAGTAATGGGAAGCTGCAATAAGGTCCTCCTGGAGCCTTCTCTTCTTCAGGCTGAACAATAACAACTCTGTCAGCCTTTCCTCATAGGAGAGGTGTTCCATCCCTCTAATCATTTTTGTGGCCCTCTACCTTAGAGTCAGCTTTCATAAATTGATGACAAATCTGAAGTATGTTATCAAGGTACAATGACTCAGTAGCATGAACATTCCAGACCACACGAACTCTACACCGTTACTGCACCTCTAGATTTAAACCACTATGAAAACTATATGGTTCAGAGTACTTAATCACACCTCTGAAGTTTGAGACCAACTGGAGTACATGATAAATAACCGAAAGTGTCACATCTACTGCTCAAGATCATCTTTCTACAGAAGTTACAGCAAATAAAGCCACAGTATCAATCTTTAGGAATCATTCTTGGATCTTGGTAATGCATCTTGGTAAATCTTGTTCTGACTTCAAGCATAAAAAGACCCAGCACTGGATTTACCAAGACACATTCAAATTTAAGCAGGAGAAAAAGAACTCAGATTATGATTCTTGCAGCAGATGCCTGGAGCTACTGGATCTTTCTGCCGTGTTAGAAATTAACAGGGAGTTTTTTAACTTCTCGGCTAATTCAAATTTTGACCCTATCTTCTTAGACAACTTATTACAGTGTCATTGACAGCTATACATCTGTTCCCCCATGAGGTGTCTTAAGAACGCAATTCTTAACTGTAAAGTATCTAAGAACATGCAGGAGTGAATTAACAAATGAAAGAGAAAATCCTTTTCTTCTGAGAAGGAAGCTCTCAGGAGAGACAAGGGTAGGGTGTGCTCCAGAAGTATGTTTGCAGAACTGTTGCACTTAGTTTTAGGAAAGACTGTTTCAGTTTCCAGACCTGTCAGTCCAGAATCACAAACACACAAAAAAATTAATCTTAAAGCAGATTTTGGCTCAAATAGATTAAAAAAAAATAGTTCTCTTTTACAGTTACATCAGAGTAAGGGATTCAATTCTATTTAGAAATGTATAGTTTAAAATTCTGTATTTCAATTATTTACAGGACTTAACTGGAAATACAAAATTACAGAGTCAGCAGATACGTTTCTCCACTTTCTAATTAAAAATATCATCCACAATAACTAGCATTGCCTGTTCTTATCTGTTACCCAAACACAAATATACTAGATGCCTGACAGCCTACAGTACCTCATCCCTTCCTAATCTTGTAGAGACACTGCACTCTTCAGCAGCATGATAATTTTAACCATTAACTCCTCTCCAAAGTAATTTTTATTCTAATATACAAATGCATTGTTAGCAGGGAATCTAACAGACATAATAATCTCTTTAGCATTAGGAAGGTCAATTCAAGTAACAGAACTACTGTAAAACAGAAGACAGTTGCATGGAGAAAAAAGGGAAATCTGGTTGTCATTGCATGCTGGAAAGGCAATTTGTCTGAAAAAACAAACGTGGCATAGAGCAAGCACTATCTAAACTTACAAAGGCGTAAATACCTAAGCACTCCTATCATCATACTCTTTGTTTAGCAACAATAGTAATAGTGATGATCATTCTAAACACCTCACAAGTAAATATTATGAAAATATATTTTTCTTATAGTAACTGAAGTTATATTTATATCAATTAATTCTAGAAGTTAATCAAATGAGATGAAGTTCTACAATGTTAAGAATGCAACTTATTCTCCATTCCATCTGCCCTCAAAGTAGCTGTAAAGGTTTACAATATCACAATTTGTTTAGAAGACTAAATGCTTTTAGATAATCTACAGTCATTAATTAACAGATAAGCAAGGCAAAGATTTTGCAAGTACTTCTGAAGAAAGAGAAGAAAGTCCTGTTTAACTTTGAGCAAGCCAGGTACCTGTGATACAAGAAGGGCAAAATGGTCACAAGCCTACCAAAATGACAGTACAGGATTCCCCTGCACCTGGTAGTCAGTAAACCCAAACATTCTTACTTGGAGACATCCCTGGCTGGGGCTGTCCCATGTTGGGCCCTTGATTCATGGGAGCTTGTGGCATGCCCGGAGCATTTGGGATCATGTTTTGCTTCTGCAGCCTGGTTCTTCGTTTCTCCTCCAACTCCTTCTGAATTTTATAGATCTTCTCCGCTAGCAAGTGATAGTACTCTGCCTGTTGGGGAGGAATACAAGTCAGGAAAGGAGATGACACCCATGTTCACTAAAGGCAACCGGTCCCAGTGATCCACACTTGGAAAACAGCCTTCCACACACACATTTCTGCTTGCGTGGGGGTGGCTCTCCCTTTGCAGGGGCTGCTGGGCAGATAGGAGGGCAAAAAGGGGCACTGCTCAGTGCATTGCTGCCAACTACTAGGCCAACGCTGGAAGTTTTTCTTTTCTCGTCCAACACTTCTTTGGGAGAATCGCAGAAAGAGCTTCAGCCCCCACCCTGCCCCCCAGAACACCCAGGCAGAAGCCTGCAGCTGGCTGGGTCCTAGACCTCATCCAGCAGCCCCTGAACACACACCTCCTCAGCCTGGGACTCTCATGTGTGCTTTCACTCCTCTTCCTCCCCTATCGCTACGGGATCAAGCTAGAGACACACACAAGTGGATGACAGAGGATGGCATCTCACCCTGCTGTTTGCTGATTCATACATATCCCCTTCCACTTTCCGAGCATAGGCCACCAGATTCTCCATACGCCGATCCTTCAGTGCTGCAGGGTCAGGAGTAGGAAATATGGCTTGGACTCTGAGGAAAAAAAATGCATACAAGTGATTAGGATGTCCCCAGACCAAGACATCAGCATTAACCCCCGTGATCTGAACACAAAGCAGCAAGCAAATCTTCTCACAGACTATGGCACTGCTACTGCTCTGGGGGGACGTCGCCCTTGTGTTGATGCCTGACTACAGAGTGGGACACTTCCGATACAACAGCCCCAAACCAGCAGGTGCAGCTCCATCTTTTGTGCTTCTGCTCTCCCTTCTCAGGTTTTGTCCCTTCTCACAGAACTCACCCCCTGACACCCTTTTGGAGGTCAGGCTTCCTCCTGCTCTCCCCCCCCACCCTGAGGCAGCAACTCACTCAACAAGAGATTGTTTTGATATTAGCTACTCACAATTTATGAACAAGGTGGTTTCGGAGATCCTGAGTAATGTCTTCATGCCACTGCTTTCGAATTCCAGTATTGGATGGTTGAGCTGTTGGCATGGCTCCCAAACTGGCAACGTTGGTGCTTTCACTCATCATGGGGCTTCAAAAACAGAGCAAGAATTGAGGGCGAAAGTCTAGCCCAAGCTTAGTCATCTTACAGTCATAGCCTCTTTTAGAATAATGATAGGACAAAGTGTTAGTTCAGCCATTCCCTAATCAATGGACAAACTCTGCAGAAATAGCTGCACAGACACCAAAACAACGCCGTGAAAGAGTACATGCTGTCCTACCCAAGGATTTGGAAAACTGGAACAAAAGCTACAAAATCCAAAGGGAGAGATAGCCATCAATGGAATTTACCCCACTGTTTATGCAAGAAGTGCCAGGAGATTATTTAGCACAAGGATCACTTTCACACCTCAGTGAATAACTTGCCCCTTACTCCCACTGCAGCTCAGTGGCAGGTTTGTGGTACCCTCCCCCGATCAGTAAATGCACTGGAGCTTCAGATCTGCCCAGATAACAAAGCAGATAATGTCTGTAACCTCTGGCCTGAAAATGTCAGTTTGCAAGTAGTGACAAAGTTATAACAGACACCAAGACCTCTAGAAAGGATAAGAACAAAGACATCCCAACTACATGGCTGCTTTTCCAACTGTCCTTAGCAGCAAGCATCAGTTCAGTTCCTCCCAGTATAAGCGTGCAATATCCTTATGTACACTCACTTCCATCTCATTTGTTATGGGCAATCATCAGGATTTGCAGCTGAACAAAATCACTGGGGCGCAAAGAATAACTCAACTTACTTTTGAGAATTCATGGTTGAATGTAACATTGAGTCAGGCAGCAGATTAGATGTTTGAACCCCTACTCCTCCATTCACTCCCATTGGATTTGCACCTAGAAAACAGAGTAAATATTCTTAAACGAACAGCCAAAACACTGTGCAAAATCAGTAATTGTTCAGCAATAACAAGGGTCTACACCTTGGGATATTGGGACCAGTACTCTTCAATATTTTCTTTGACTTTTGTGAAGGAGCTTAATTACTTCTTGCTCTATTTACCCTCTTGCTTTTACCAGCTTAGAGTCTGAGGCACAACACTGGTGACCTCCAAGTGAAGCATCATACCACGTTACTCTCGTGCACATCTTCCCAAACTTCTCAACAAACAAGCAATTTCAACTTGCTCCAAATGTTATGTAACAGTCCTTTCCTGTGACTCCCTAACTAAAGATTCAGCATTGCCAACCACTTGTGGTTTGAGTTTTTTTTTAGAAGCAGTTGGGTTTTGTGGTCATTCAGGGGCTTAGGATATATATTCACAAAGGCTTCAAAAACTTAAAACAACAGCTACCACCTACACCTGACAAGGCCCCCTTTCACCCACTCTATACTTAAGGATCCTACAACTAACTCCAGTGTTTGTACTAAAGAAAATCTATCAATCCTTTGCAGGAAAAAACTCTAGTAATTCGTTACGTACCAAAATCTGCTTTCCTGAATCACAGCAGATCTCAATCACCACAAAAAAACGCCTATTTTCTTCACACACTACTTCTGTCTGGAACTTCTGAATAGATCACCTTGTGAAGTTGTGAGAGCAGTATGAAAGGCATTACCAAGCTTCACACATATTTAGGACATCTGAATGCTACAAAATCTGTATTTCAAGCAAAATTAGACACTGCATACGAAAGAAAACCATTGAAATTAACTATATCAAGTCTAACACATACCTCTATTATCACAACCTTTTCATAAAGCTGCCTCCAGCCTCCCTTCTCTTAGTCACTTTTTTCTCCTTCTCACATTCACTTTGTCATCTGAGAGCAAGCTGGTATAGAAGACAACTGTCAACCTTTGCCTTAACTCTTCTTTTTCAACTGCCAAAACCAACCATTTGTTTGATCTACTTCGGACTGCATCTCTTCACATCACAGTCCTCACCAAATCCTGCTGTTTCTCCCAAACCAGCCCTGCTGTCATGCAGGCTGTGACCTGGTGATTCCTATCTCACTTGTTGTAATTAACCTTAGCCACTCACTCCCAATCATGAAACAAGTCAGAAGTCTACACTCTCCATTCTTGTCCTGTCTACCTCAAGCTTCACATCTTCACTCTCCAAGAACTTTTCAACCCCATCTCATTGGATTTTATCATCAGTACCACAGGAGTGCCCAGTAAGAACGCACAGGCCAAATTCTGTGTCTATGAATGAAAAAATCTCAAAAGAGAGAACCATTTTGCTTCAGAAAAATGGATGATACATTCCTTTCAACCTTTCAAGGCCCTCACTACAATATTTTGGAGCTTCTAGTAATTAATCTATTTGTAAAACACTAATGCACAGTAGAAAACCATATTATTTTAATCTACATGTTTTAAGACCAAACTCTCAGGACCTCTCCCCACTCCTCCTTTTTTAAAAATGCTTTACACACTGGAAGGCAAAGTTGTAGCAGTATACAAG